ATTAAAAAAAAAAAACACACAAAAAAAGAAATTAAAATCCTGAGGAACACAATAAATAATGTTTGTTGTATTGCCTGCAATGAAATACAAGTCAAAGTAAATTTCGAAAGCACTACTTTCTTTTTTTATTTGCGTTTTCCATACTCTCAACTTTTTGGGGTTGTAAGATATCTGAAGCAGTGAGTGACTAGCGTTGTTTGTGACAGACTAGTGATAACATCAGTATTATTATAATCTTCTGACAAGTTTTTTGTCCAACAATACTGTAGTACTCCTAAAAATGTAGTAAATGTTTCAGAATTACCAAATCATCACAGATCTATCTCAAAAATAAGACATTGCACTTTATTTATATTAATATATAGCACATGGCTTTATGGCTGTTGTGTGTTTATATATATATATATATATATATATATATATATATATATATATATATATATATATATATATATATATATATATATACTGTATGTGTGATCAGACCTACTGTACGTTTATTCACACTGTAGACATAAAGCAGAGCAGATTATGGCTCTCTGTAACAAATATACACGCACACACACACGTTCACACATATGAGAATCGGGCACAGATGGTATAGCAGCAATAACCATTATTAATAATTACGTTCAAACACTCAAAGCTTATACTGTGTACAGACTGCGGTACAGATTGGGTTCTGTCAGGTCCTGGATACACATGAGACAGGTACGGGTCTACGTAACGACAGGATTCTGGGATTATCTTTACACAGAAGAGAAACGGAAACACTGAAGTTCTGTCAGTACATTCATATTGTGTATTTTTGATTTGATATATTTTCATGGTTCTATGTTTTTACTGTGATGGTTACGTTAACTGTACAGACACAGAGGTAGTTGATACATGTTACTGTTGAGAGATAGAGAGAGAATCTGCTACGTTTAGAGCACAGGAGATTTCACACGGAACATTTCACAGCAGCGTTAGATCTGAAGGAAAGCCAGTCATAGACGAGGAAACAGGACAACATATTGACCAGTTTACACAGAGAAGACCTTAAAGTCAACATGAAATCAAAATCAGACCCATTTACTATTAAGATCGCATTCACAGTCTTGTACGTGCATGTCTTCCTTTAGAAAAAAAAAGATTAAAAAAAAAGATGACTTTCCTTTTGCGTTGATCATGTCACTAATATCCAATAATCAAACAGCTGAACAGTGCATTAGTGCACATCCACTTTTGCGGCAGAGCTTTTTTTCCATAAAGGTAAAAAAAAAAACTTAAAGGCACTCTTTGTAATTATTTTTTAAAATAACATATCTAAAAAACAAAAGGACATTGTTATATATTTTGCTAACTTTACATGTTGTGTCTAAAACTGTGCAGGAAATGTGAGGCATGTAGCTATTTTCACCAATTTCAACACACTTTCAAGCTTGTGTTCCCGTGGGATCTATCATTGCTAAGCAGCCATCAAACGCACAAGACATGTCTGAGAAACCACCATTGACAAACCCTTGCTGCAGCTCTGATACAAGTATTATTTTGATATTTAATTAAAAAGAGCTGCAGAGTTTGGGTGCTCTGCATTTGTTTGTGGTAATTAGTCTATATGACTTAGAAGGCATTCATATATTGTCTTATGCTGTGTTCACACCAGACGTGTAATGCACGAATAAATCGCACTATTCGTGTGTAAAAAGACACATGAACATTTTGAGTTTACTCGCTTCATTCTCGCGACAATTCACTTCACAATAGATGCAGATTCGCATCATGGGCAGGGTTTCTGTTCGCCTGCTGACATTAGCTTTGTTGCTAAATGGATTTACATAACATGTAACAAGACTAACATAGATTTTATTGAGATAGTAGCTGTGCCTTATGTGCTTTAGGAAGGCTGAAAAACAGCGTATATTCGTTCGGCGCCGTGTCTTGAGTCCACTAGATCCTTTCAGAGGTGCACCCAGATCTATGAGTTGATCAACTCCTCCAGAAACTATACCTGAATTATGGAGGCTTTTAGTGGTGCTTCACACTAAGCCGAGCCCAGTTTGATTAGCTGTTTTCTAGTGTCAGCATAGGATTTCCCCCTCGGACACCAACAACAGGCACTATGTCATAATCACCTATACAAGAGAAAGCTCCTAACTGGTTAACACGGCGTGAATGTCTGCTTAAGTTCAGATTTTCCAACTCAAACGATTCACGCATTAAGCGCGTCAAATGCGCAAATGATTTGTCATCACATCATTCGCGCCACAGAATGTCTGTTTGCATCCTTGCATTGACTTACATGTTTTATTGTGGAAACTCAACTCTGTTAATGTAGAGAAAGTTCTTCTTAAGACCTTTTACAATTCATTTATTGAAAGTATTTTGTCATTTTCCTTTATTTGTTGGTTTTCTTCACTGTCCATAAAAAACAAGATTCGTCTTCAAGGCATCGTTAATTTGTGTTTAAAGATTTTGGGAGTTCCCCTGCGAAGTCTTGCATACTATTACGAACAGCAGGTGTTGAGGATGGCACATAAAATTCTAGGAGACAGAACACATCCCTTAAATAAACATTTTGAGTGGATGCCCCTTGGTCGACGTCTAAGGACAATAAGGTGTTCCACAAATTGTTATAAATTAATTTTGTGCCTGAAGCAATTAGGTTATGTAATAAATGTAGTTAATCGATGGGCTAATATTTGTTTTTTGTACTTGCTGTTAAGTGTTGATGTTTATTGTGTTAAGTGTGTCATTATTGTTATACTATATGTGAAGCACCACCATGTCGAAATGAATTGCCCCAAAGGGATTAATAAAGTTTTAAACTAAACAAAAAAAAACGATGTAAATCATTTGTGTTCGACCGCGTCAGGTGTGAACGCAGCATAAAACTGCATTGGAAATGCGAGGCAAAGAAATTCCTTCATCCAATATCAGTATTGTTATTACTGAAATGTGTATAATCCATACTAAGTGTGAGGCTGATTGGTTGGTTCTTCTAACATGACACCTGTTGGGTTCTGAAAGGTTAAGATGTTTTCAAAAGATGCGATCTGTGTACTCCCCCTTGTGTACTTGCATTACCCCGAATGTTTCGAAGGAAGTTCAAATTCAGAGAATTTAGCTATTTTAACTAATGATATGAACCGTAATGTGCTGGCATAATTATGACATCATACACTCAAATTTCTAGTTTAGTTTGATAAAAACAGCAATATGCTTTAATATGTTGTGCATTTTATTATACTGCATTATAACAGAACCTTAAAATGTATTTAGTATGATAAAACAGAGCTGTTTCTTAAACACATCATCACGAGAGGAAGAACTAGAAGCAGTCGACTGTGGCATGGGCCTGTATGAGTTTCTGATGGTATGATAACCTTGGATAAAAAATTACGGTATCACGGTATTGTATTACCTGCTCTATAATGAGTTATTTGTATATCTCGAGGTAAAAAAATAAATAAAAAAAACGTTTTGCCCCATTAAACAAAATACTTTTTTACATTTGGAAACATTTATTATGTTTTGGAGCAGTACACATGTCAGGCTAAATAATTCAAATGAATCATTGACTTCTGCTGTCTTCATTAGTTTCAAAAAGACAGAAACGTACATGTACCTTATGTAAGGTACTGTACAACAGAAAATTTTTGCAGTTTTAAAACCTTGACTTTTTTAAATCGCAGTAAACCTTGAAACTAATTATCATTCCATGCCTACGGTGGCATAATAAAAGCTCAGCTGCTTTCATGCTGCATTTACTCAACTCTCTTTAGCAATTGCTTCAGCACTCTCTGCTTCATATTACTATTATTTTAAGCTTTGAATATTTTAATGAAGACCACAACTCTCATGATTCCTCTCTCTGCCGTCATCCAACTACATCTTTGTTTATTGCAAAAATGTGCCCTCTTGTGGTCAAAGTTGTTTTCAAGTTTAAAGTATTAAAACACTTTTAATACTCATAACAAAAAATTTAGGAAAAATGAACCAGCATTATCCTGTGTTCACACCAGACGCGGAACGCGAGTCAAGCGCGAGGGATTTACATGTTAAGTCAATGCAAACGCGCGAATAGACATCCTGCGGTGTTAACCAATCAGGCTCAGTCAGAAGCACCGCTGAAAGCCTCCATCATCCAGGTACAGTTTCTGGAGGAGTTAATGAGCTCACAGAGCCGGATGCACCTCTGAAAGGATGTAGTGGACTCAGACATGACCCTAAATGTATCGATGCTGTTTTTCAGTCTTCATAAAGCACATAAACACTGATATTTTCTTCATAAAATCCATGTTAGCCATTTAGCTATGAAGCTAGAGTCTTCGGGCAGACAGAAGCCCTGCCCATCACGTGAATCCGCGTATGTTCTGAAGTGAATTTGACATGAGAATGAAGCGGATTTGACGTGCGAATGAAGCAGGGTTTGATGTGCGAATGAAGCGGGGTTTGATGTGCGAATGAAGCAGGGTTTGACGCGCGAATGAAGCGAGTAACCTCAAATGTTCACGCGGCAATTTATAGCGCGATTTATCTGCGCGTTCCGCGTCTGGTGTGAACACAGCATTAGAACGCTATTAATCAAACCAACATTGAGTAGATTTATAACAATAAAACAGGATCCTAAAACAGCTCCGTCTTCACAGGTTAATCAGATACTATTAAAAGCTTCCCTATGGGGAAAATAATTGGAATTTTTACTTCAGATATCGGGTTCAGGCAAGCCAACATTCAGGTTTTGGAACACAAACTTTTCACTAAACCATTTCCCAACACAAAAATGTAGTGCTTTCCTACGTATTTCGCAAACTGCATCCCACTACAGAAGTGAAATGGGTTGCAAATGATTTCATGGTGACTTTAACAAAGATCAGTAGTTCAGGAATGCTGACAACACATCCTATATCTAGGTAGTTTGGAGGGTGAAAGGATACAATTTACATTATTGCAGATAGTAACTAAGCAAAAATAATCTGAGAAATCATCTAAAGTGAGGTCGGCCTCAGGTCCTTGCTTTTGAAAATCATATTTCAGTCAATAATGCTACATATAAGGTGGAAAGAAATGTTTGGTTATTTGACCACCGTAAAAAGAAAAAGGAAAAGTGATTCTTTCATGGTCCTCAACATTGACTTAACAGCTACATCATCCAAGCTCCAATCATCTCAGGCGCAGCAGATTAAATGTCCCAAACGAAACATGGCAAAGCATAATACAAAATGCATCTCGATATAAAAAATAAATACGTCACAATCCCGATCCCGTGAGATGATTAAGACTGACTTATCACCAACAGAATGGGGCATTTCCCTTTTTCCAAAGTCTCTCTTCTCGAATTAAACACAGCTGAAAAGACTGTGAATTTGGTCGGCCACCCAGCCGGATTCTAATGTTGGATTAACAGGGACAAACAAAGAAACATTCCTTAAAACAAAGCGGACTACAATAACATTAGTATTCTTTACAAAAGGACTAAGATAGATAAAATAAATTCTTCTTTCCGTATCGACACAGAAAAGCTTATATTTACCTGCTTGCATTTGTATGTGTACGCATGAGGGAGAAAGAATGGGGGAAAAATGAGACTAGAAGTGAAAGGAATGAAGAGAGGAAAAATTGAGTGTGATCAGGGGGTGTGGGAGAGAGAAGACGTGTGTTTGGTGAGCACCAATGGAATATAGCCAGGTTTCTATACTATTGGCATTCCTCTCACTGGCTAGCCAGTGGGAAAAGCTTTCAATTCCCAAAAGGAAGGCGCCGAACAAAAAAGCAAATCAAACAAACACAAAAAGACTCATTGATACAGTCTGTGAAGCCACATTATGGACTTATAGAGGCCAGGAATAAATTAGGATAGACGCACAGATCCTTATTATTCTCATCTCGGACCACACAGACACCCGTCCATCCGTCTAATCGACCCATCCATCCATTTAACTCAAGCCCAGGGTCAGAGGAGATGTTCTCAGGATGAGCTGTTCTATTTGTGCAGAGAGACACTTGAGTTCTCTCAACATTAAAGGTCTGTCAACATCCATCCCATCAAAAACGCTCCACTCGAGGCTTTAAGTAAAAAAAAAAACACACTCTGTTTTCCCTTTGAGAGTTTCCCGGCCCACTTGTCAACTTCAGCATCACACTGAACTGAAGAAAATCCCACAATCTGTTTTGGTTAAGCTCAATGGTCCACCTCTTGAGCGCGGAATATTCCAATGGTACGCTTGACCCATTGAGTCCACAGTGTCAAACCCTTAAAGGAGATCATGATCGTAGTGGCAAAAAGCTTCCTTTTCTGAGCACATGCTGGGGGGATACAGTGCAAACTGAATGTATATGCATCTAATACTGCTGTGATAGTGTTTGTGTGTGTGTGTGTGTGTGTGTGTGTGATGAGCCACGGGTGGGGCTGTGGTTTATTCCAGAAGATGAACCCTCTTTCTGGGCGGGACCCAAACTTCAGAGTCCATGACAAAAGAATAAGCAAACCTTTGACCTCACTAAATCTCCTCAAAGTTGGATCGGTGGATTATACGGCTGGCTTGTCTTCGCTATTCACTTTGGGTTTCACATCTGAAAGAGAATCAAGAGATTACTCGTGTTAACTGTCATAATTTCAGGTCTTTCACAAATAATTGTGACCATTGTAAAGCATTCAAGTACAATACTGATCAGAGATTTTGGGTTGGTACACTTTTAAAAGCCCTAAAATTCATTAATACATTAATTTCAGCTTAGTCCCTTTATTAATCAGAGGCTGCCACAGTGGAATGAACCGCCAATTTATCCAGCATACGTTTTACACAGTGGATGCCCTTCCAGCTGCAACCTCCAGCTGGAACATGCAAACTCTACACAGAAATGCCAACTGGCCCAGCCGGGATTCGAACCAGCAAGCTTGCTGTGAGGTGACCACTGAGCCACCATGTCGCCTAAACCCTAAAATGATCCAAACTAATGCTTAGATTAAACCCTGAATTAAAAAAAAAAACCCAGATGTTGTTTTTTTTTTTCCTCAATTACTCAAATGATGGGTTTGAGTACTAGTTTTATAATGAGTGCTCACCAATGCTATATTTAAATTGATTTGACTGAAAATATGGTCACACGGTGGCTCAGTGGTCAACACTGTCACCTCACAGCAAGAAGGTCGCTGATTCAAGTCCCGGCAGGATCAGCTGGCATTTCTGTGTGGTGTTTGTATGTTTTCCTCAGGGTGCTCTGGTTCCCCCACAGTCCAAAAGCATGCGCTATAGGTGAATTGAATAAACTAAATTGGCCAGAGTGTGTGTGAATGTGTGTGTATGGATGTTTCCCAGAACTAGGTTGCAGCTGGAAGGGCATTCGCTGTGTAAAACATATGCTGAAATAGTTGGCGGTTCATTCTGTTGTGGCGACCCCTGATGTTTAAAGGGACTAAAAGGGAAATGCTTATATTATACTGATTTTAAAAATCGCAAGGCAATAAAATAACCACATTTTGTTGACTGTGTTATTTTACGGACATTGAACAAGTCAAGAGATGTAATCTTTAAAGCTTTGCCATGACAGCACAGTACTGCTGTTGTAGCAGTAGGAACAAGTAACTACTTACTGTGCATTCACACCGAAAGCGGTGAGACCAAGGTCTTTCTGGCCGCCCTGGCTAGAACGCTGTCTGCCTTCATCTCCGGCAGCGAAAGCGTCAAAATACGCTACATTAATCTCGTATTTAAAACGGCCGTTCAGCATATCAGTTACATTCCTGCATAAATCATGCTTTCTAGTGTGAAAATGTTGCACACTTCTTATTAAGTTTATTTAACAATGGAAGACGAAGTTGCATGTGGTTGTGGGTGTCCATATGTCTGAAATATTCGGAAGCAGCAGCACTGTTTTGTATTGTCGCATGAGATTCCCGCTTATTTAAAGATAAATATATATATATATCATTAATGCACATCAGTAACTCGCCAGTAACTTAATGCATATTCATGTAAGAAAAAATTGTAAATAATTGAAAATTCGGCACCCAAATTTCAACCAAAGTTCACAGGTCTGTGTTCTCTGAACTCCTCTCAAGTGGTGGACTCTTCATTTTAATCGCTTGTGACCAAACCGCGTCATAGCTCATTGACTTGATTTCAACTCTCCTCGACGTCCAAACCGGCGAAGATGCTCCGCGCTGCGCTGCTCCTTGCTGCTTATTGCCACTGGCTCTCATTGAAAATGAATGACTTCCAGCTACTTTGACACTCTCGCCGCTTTCGGTGTGAACATACTGTAAGAAATGTCCTGTTGATGCATAATTTAAGCAAACTTTGCTACAGCAAAAATAACATTTTCGGACAATAATTTTCAGCCGCCGAAATATTTTTACAATCTAAAATAACAGTTTTCATTTGGATGCATTTTTAAAATGTAACTTCTTTTTTAAGTTTAACTTTTAACAGCGAATTACTGTTACACGATCTTTCAGAAATCATGCTAATATTTGGATTTGTTGCTCTAGAAATATTATTATTAGTATTCTTATTTTTAAGGGGGAAACAGTGGCTCAGTGGTTAGCACTGTCACCTCACAGCACGAAGGTTGCTGGTTCGAGCCCCAGTTTGACCATTTGGCGTTTTTGTGTGGAGTTTGCATGGTTGACCCGTGTTTGCGTGGGTTTCCCCCACAGTCCAAAGACATGCAGTACAAGGGAATTGAATAAGCCAAATTGGCCATGTGTAGATTGTGAGAGTGTATGGGTATTTCCCAGTACTAGGTTGCAGTTGGAAGGGCATCCGCTGCAAAAAAACACATGCTGGATAAGTTGGCGGTTCATTTCGCTGTGGCGACCCCTGAAGAATAAAGGGAATAAGCTGAAGGAAAATGAATGAATGAATAAATATCATGTGATGATAAAAAGAGGCGCAATGTGACAGCATTTATGGATGCCTGCCAGATATATTATTGGTTTATTTTCTCAAAAAGAAAGACAACACTTGAAAATCTTAATAATTAATCAATGTCTAAAAGGAGCAAAAACTTCTATGTTTATTTCATGGGTTCTTTGAAAATACTTTGCTCTTTCTTTCTTTTTTGTGTAGCAAAATGCCTAATGGAGGGCATGGGATTGTGTGTAAGGGTCTATTTTTAGCACAGCGAGCTGCATTTAAATAAGTTGTTTGACTCTGTACTGTAAGAGTGTGTGCATGTGTGTTTACCGGCAGCTGCTCTGGTTGAGTGTCTTTCCTCTTTTTGTACAGCTCACCTCCCTCAAACTGCACCTGCATTCACAGGAGGGAGGATGTGATGTCATCTTGCGGATGGGGCATGGAGGACACGCCTCTCTGGCAGGTGTCGGAGGGGCGGAGCTTGGCGGCAGGGTGGGAGGAGGAGGAGGAGGGGGTGTCGTTGGCACAAGCATCCTGTTGGCATGAGAAGGTAAAAACAAAGTAGTATCTGAGAAATAAAAGTGCCTGACCTTCATATTCTGTAAAGATAACCGTCATATTTTATATGGGAGTCATTTTAGCGAGTGAGGTTTCTGATTCATTATATGCTATAAGTACACTAAACAATATTCATAAATTAAATAATAATTATAATAATTAACAGATTTGTTTTACAATGTAGATTAAGTGGGAAGTAGTAGTACATGCAATTGAACCAAGCATTAAAAAGCATACCATAGTATTACAGCTTTATTTTTTACATACAACATGGGCTGTAAAAAAATACGATAAAGTCTCATACTTGTTTTAATAATTGAATCAGGTTGTAACTTTTTGGGGTTTTTGAAATGATCTACGTGCAAAGTCTAAAGTGCATGTTCGAATCCACTTTGGCTATTTTAAGGACGGAAAAATATAGTTTGCGTGTAAAGCAGTGGCGCAGTAGGTAGTGCTGCCGCCTTACAGCAAGAAGGTTGCTGGATCGCTGGTTCAAACCTCGGCTCAGTTGGTGTTTCTATGTGGAGTTTGCATGTTCTCCCTGCGTTTGCGTGGGTTTCCTCCGGGTGCGAGTCCAAAGACATGTGGTACGGGTGAATTGGGAAGGCTAAATTGTCCGTAGTGTATGAGTGAGTGTGTTTGTGTGTGTGTGAATGTTTCCCAGAGATGGGTTGCAGCTGGAAGGTGCGTAAAAACGTGCTGGATAAGTTGGCGGTTCATTCCGCTGTGGCAACCCTGGATTAATAAAGGGACTAAGGTGACAAGAAAATTAATGAATGAAAATACAGTTTGTGTCCTGGCGCATGGTCTAACAGGGTTGTGCTTATTCTCCTAATGAGTTCTGGGTGTATAGGGGTTGTTCTGAGTTCTGAGGTTGAGCATAACGTGCATTAAACCAATCAGAGTCTCATCACACGTTCCTATTAAGAGAGTAAGTTGCATCATGCCATGGCGCATTTGTTATTTAAATGGTGGACTTTGTAAGTGAAAAAACTGAATGCTTCACTAAGCAGACAATCTGCAGCTCGAGGTTAAAGAATCAGCCTCCTCCATTCTCCATTTCTCTTTACTTTACTTTTACTCTTTACTGCTTTATACTTTCATGGAGGAAGGAAATGGTGGAAACTCACTCCTCTGAAGACATTTATTAGCCTACATATTTAATTTTATTTAAGCACAAAGATTTGGTTCAAATTTATTTCTAAATTCAGTTAGTAATTTCCAGCAAATGATTATATGAACAATAATAATAAAGTGTGGTCAAAATTTTTTTTTATTTTATTTTAATAAAAAATAAAAACTGCTTTTATTCTAGCCAAAATAAAAGAAATAAGACTTTCTCCAGAAGAAAAAATATTATCAGACATACTGTGAAAATGTCCTTGTTTATTTGGACAAACATCATTTGGAAAAAAATTCGAAGAGGGGTTAATAATTCTGAATTCAAATGTATATATAAGTCTGAGCAAAATTAAGACTTTTATACATTTTTACCATGATTTAAAAATGACAAAAATGCAATTCAGTGCCACAGTAGTTTAGATATTGAAAAACGTGTCAGGCATGTTTAGAGAAAGTATTATTTGATGATTATTTCAGCTCCAAAATACTAATTAATTGTCAATTTAAATGTATGCTTTGCTACTATCCTAGGATTTTACCATTTCTCAGTAAAAACATTTTAAATAATTAAAATAAAAATGTATATGATCTTTATATATATAATATATATATATATAAATATATATTATATTTTATATATTATTATAATAAAACCTTCTCCAGAAAAAAAAAAAAAAAAAAAAAAAATTCAAAGCCCCCTTTGAATATATTTTTTCTTCTGGAGAAGGTTTTATTATAATAATATATATTAGAGTAATTAGGCAAGCTCGAACTTGCCTAATTACTCTAACCTGGCCAGTTAACCTAATTAACCTAGTTAAGCTTTTAAATGTCACTTTAAGCTGTATTAAAAGTGTCTTGAAAAATATCTAGTCAAATATTATTTACTGTCATCATGGCAAAGAAAAAATAAATCAGTTATTAGCAATGAGTTATTAAAACTATTATGATTAGAAATCTTCTCTCCGTTAAACAGTTGAAATTGGGGAGAAAAATCAACAGGGGGGCTAATAATTCTGACTTTAACTGTATATATATATATATATATATATATATATATATATATATATTTTTTTTTTTTAATATAAATTAAGACATTTATATAAATAAAGACAAGCACAGGTCAGAATAAGTCTGCTATTTCAACATTATTGCATCCATATTTTGATAATTTCACATAACAACAGTTACATTATACATTAAAACATGCACTTTCAGTTCAGATTCAAAACCAGCAAACACAAAGGTCCGAAGGTTATGAGAAACATTAAAATAGTAAGAAAGGCTTTCGCCAAGTGATTGAGTAACGCAATTCTTATTATAATTCCCTTTTGGACAAATCCGTCTCCAAGAGAATAATGTAAAAATGGACAAAGAGCATGTCGGCCCTTGCAATCATTAACCTAAGCCTGCATCTCCACATTATGGAGTTGAAATTGAATTCAGTAGCTGACACAAAAAGACCCATAATGCATTCTGAGCATGCAGCGGTTCTTCGGACAGCACCGTAGATACACTCTGGTTAGTGTTTGAGGTTCACTGGTTCATTGATGTCTCATTTGTGACGTGTCTGATGGGATGCTGACCTCCCCCCCTTCTTTCTTAACTAAATCAAAACTGAAGGGACGTGTATAGCTGAGAGTTCATTAGGAAGCAAATCAATCTTTGTGTGGAAGTGGTTTGAGAGGCTGATAGAGCGTAAGGAAGGGAGGCCGAGGAAAAGGGAGGGCCGTTCTGGCTGGCAAATTAGCCTGATTTCACACTTGCCAATGACTCCATCCATGGAGGAGTGAATGATGGATAGCAGGGAGGGAAAACGATGGCCTAAAAGAAGCGGCCTTCATTTGCCCCCACCAAAACCGGTGACGAAGAAGAGAAAGTAGAAAAGGAAGGACAGGAACTGTTGAATCCTCTCCCGTCAACTCGAGTTGATTAATTGTTGTCTGAGTGAAAGTCAATGTTGCATTAATGAATGTGTAATAAGGCACGTACGAATTTGAACAGAAACTCTTTCACTTACAAGCCGGTTTTAATATTTAATAATGTTTATGGAGCTTTTAATACAGTCAAAGAAAAGATGGATGTTTAAAGGGATAGTTCACTCAAAAATGAAGATTTTGTTGATTTTGAGCTTCTTTTTACTGTTAAACACAAAGGAAAGTATACTGAAGAATGGAGGAAAAAGCAGCCACTGACTTCCATAGTTATTTTTGTTCTTACTACAGATGTCAATGGCAGCTTTTCCAGCATTTTTCAGAATATCTTCCTTTGGGCTCTATTTTGACGGTCCATGTGCAGAGCAAAAACCCAGGGCGCAAACGCTTTCAGGGCGTGTCAGGACGCATTTTTGCTAATTTAAGGACGGGAAATCTGCTTTGCGCCGCGGCGCATGGTCTAAAAGGGTTGAGTTTATTTTCTTAATGAGTTTAAGGTGTGTTTTGAGAATAAACCAGTTAGAGTCTCATCTCCCATTCCCTTTAAGACCCAGCTGCATCGCGTCAAGAGCGCATTCACTATTTACAGGACGCAAAGTAAGTCTAAGTGGAAAAAATTAGCATTTCAAAAGCAAACAGTAAACAGTTAACAGTTTATTTAACAGAAAACAGTTAAACAGAGCATCTACTGCGTGAGAATGAGAAAAATGGATAACTTTCACTTTCGCTCTTGGATAGGGAAACCTTTACGCACAGACATCAATTAGTCTATAAATAATTAATTGCGTTTGTTAAGCGCAAATATTCATTTCAAAACTATTTCTAAATTCAGTTCTAATTTCCAGCAAACGAATAGATGAACAATAATAACGAAGTGTGTTCAAAAACCTGAGTTATATTCTAAAAACACATGCTGTGCCCCATATGGTCTAAAACCTAACAGGTGGGCAAATCTAAGCTTGTTTTTAATAAAACAAATATAAATATGGATATAATAAATAATACTGCTAATAATAATAACATTATACAAAAGCAAATTGTTATGAATGAACTGAAAAAGCCTCTTGAGATGAAGAAGACATAAAAGCAGTGATTTTTCATATTTATGTAGGCTAGAAAATAATATGTTTTGTAATATTTTAATCCTTTATATTTATATCCTATATCTATTCTTATTATATCCTTTATATATCCTTAATATTTAAATTTTTTCATATGTAAAGATATTTGCCTATTGCTCTCTTGTGCGTATTAAGCAGTGTGTAAGCGAGGTGCAACTCTGCACCGGAGTTTAGACCGGGTTAGTTTTGGTCTAATGAAAAATCTATTATAGATTCTCAAAATAGCAAAGCGCCAGCGGTCCGCCTCAGAACGCCTTCCTTTTTAGACCAGAACGCCTATGGGCGCACAAATGAGCGCTAATGCATTTGCAATTTAAACAGCGTAGCGCAACGCCTCAAAACGACTCTTGCGCCAAGCTGAAACTACCAAAAGACTACTGCGCCGCACCTTGCGCCACACTGCGCCGGGTGTATGATAGGGCCCTTTGTGTTCAACAGAATAAATAAATGTATAAAAGTTTGAAATTCTTCTTGAGTTAATATCGAAGAAGGTGTAATAGGGTATATGCCGAGCTAGTGCTTTTCCCATACTGATAAACTTCCGGTGACCTGTTATTGTGAACTTTTTTCCATTTTATATGGTTCCTTTTACAGCATCGATGTTGTAATGTCATTAAAATACATTCAGTTAAATAAACTTTGGCATTCATTTCGTTACTCTATCGTAAAACGAGACAAAAAGCCGTTCACTCGCACGCGCCCGTCAGAATTGGCAGGCTAGCGCAGAAGCTCCAAAAAATATACTGGGGTAAAATAAATGCTCATATTATAAAGACATGGCGGGGAAAATGTAATCTAATGCAGGGCTTCTTGTACAATCTGAGACCCACTTCATATCGGAAATCACTATTGCTGATTTTTAAAGAAAACAGCCATTAAACGCGCCGAATTTTGCATTGGCATACAGTTCGCCGGAAGCGCTTAACCCAGGTTACTGGCAAATTAAAAGTCTTATTATCATGCTTCGCCTTATCTCCTATTTTTCCCTTTAAGAATATTACTTAACTGCTACTATTATGTATATCAATAGTCATTTCTTTAATGACAAAGACATGTATGATGATGTTTTCAACAGTACCTTCACTCTCTGAAATAAAGTTACAAAACACAGCTTTTAAAATGTACACATTCATATGTAAAGGTACATATTAGTGCCTCAAAGGGAGTTTAAATGTTCCCCCTTGTGTTGGCGTGGGTTTCCTCCGGGTTCTCTGGTTTCCCCCTCAGTCTAAAGACATGCGCTATAGGTTAATTGGATGAACTAAATTGGCTGTAGTGTATGAGTGTGAATATGAGTATATGAGTGTTTCTCAGTACTGGGTTGCTGTTGGAAGGGCAGCTGCTGCATAAAACATATGCCAGAATGGTTTCACCCAGTTACGTGCATTGGATGCATGATCTGATGAATGGAGAGTGTGTGTGTTTTTTTTAAATTAATTTATAATTACTATATATATATATATATATATATATATATATATATATATATATATATATATATATATATATATATATATATATATATATATAGTGTGCACGCTTACATTGGCATCCTTTGCTTAGTCATATGTTGTTAAAGTTGGCATGAATTCAAAATGTACTCTACTTACTTTTATATAGTAGTGCTTGGTGTAAACATTGCACTTCATTACTTCCTATGAATTAAATTGGCCTCATAATGTTTAATCAAATACCACAATCTTCCTTCTCTTTAAAAACAAATTCACCTCTGGTCACATGAAATGACTTAAGGGACTTATCTGTTCTTTAGGGCGGGCTTTCAATGTGTGCTTCATTTTTGCCCAGTCTCTTTAGAAGAGCTACGATTTCCAGCTGTAAAATTAAACATTTTCCAACAATCCAATTGCTTGCCAAAGGACAAAATCAAGCACCACCTTACATTTAAGAAACCATTTCGATCAGGTGTAGGATGATCAGGAAAAAAAGCACAATCTTATCTTCTTTTTCGTGTAAAAATGCTGTTCATAAGTGCGACTGAAAACAGGTCATAATTTTAAACACTTCTGCCCTACAAACAGTTATTATTAATACAAAGGAATAATAATAAGATGATTTTTGTATAACATTGCAGAAGTTCTTTTATAATAAAGCATGATTAACATACATTGAGTTTTTCCCCATGTGTTTCTTTCGCTTTGGTTTCCCTCTGTGTCGCTTTCGGCCTCTTCTTGTTGTCTGAGGGCCTTGCCTAAAAAAACACAGAGTAAAAAATGTATTATGTATACATAAACATAAATAAGCACAATGATAAATTGTGTTTATTGCACAAAATCTTTAGAGTATATTTAAAGCGATAGTACAATCAAAAATTAAAATAACCATCATTTACTTTCATAGGGCTCTATTTTAACGATCTAGGCACAAAGTCTAAAGCGCATGGCGCAAACGCATTAAAGTCATGTCCGAATCCACTTTTGCTATTTTAAGGATGGCAAAATATACTCTGCTCTGCATGGTCTAACAGGGTTATGCTTATTCTCTTAATGAGTTATGGGTGTGTTTTGAGCATAATGTGAATTAGACCAATCAGAGTCTCATTTATTATTTCCTTTAACAGTCAGCTGCGTCGCACCATGGCACATTTGCTATTTACATGGTGGACTTTATAAGTGGAAAAACTAAACGCTTCAATAGTGAGAAAACAGTTAAACAGAACATCTGGAATAAAGAATGAGCCTCCTCCATTCAACCTCTTTACTTTTACTCTACTTCGGTGGATAAGGAAACAGTGTTGTTCACACTCCAGTTAAGACATTTATTAACCTTCATATTTAATTTTGTTTGTTAAGCAGAAAGATCTGTTTCAAAACTATTTTTAAATTCAGTGACTAAATGAACAAAAATAACGTAGTGTGGTCAAAAAAAATTATACTGAGTTGCGATGGTCTAAAAATAGCAACAAATCTTGCCTTAATGCGTCGTATTGCATCAGGTGTGTAATAGATTGTCAAAAGAAGATATTTTGAACTATGCTGATTGATGGTAACATCGACCTCCATAGTAGTTAAGGTATTACACTGTAAAATAAATCCTGGGTTCCACACAATTCCACAAGTCAACTTATATATGTTTACAAATTTAAGTTGATTGAACATAAAACAATTAAGTAATTCCCAAAAAAACTCAAGAATTGTGTTAATTCAGCTCATTTTGAATAAATAATCTGAACATGCAGCAATTTTTTTTTGAGTGGAAGTCATTTGGTGCCAGCCAGGGGCAACATAAGTTTTTTACATAAATGTAATATTAATATTACATTTATAAGTAATAATTTAATAGTAATACACTTAAAAATGTTTGTTTAATATGAGTTGTATACTAGTATTCCACTGTATTACACAGACAGGCACAGCCATTTGAGTTCTGAATAAGCCAAATAGGCACAACCCACTTGTTTACTGTGGTAAAAAACACTTTCTATATTCAACTGCATTTTTGTTTCCATGTATCAAATAAATAAACTGCCACTTTTCTAATTAAATGACACACATATAAATTTATATTTTAAAACTTACAGGCTAATTCACATATTTCATGATCTGCATGATAATAATAGATGATAAGTATTTTTTATTACTAGACAACACTTGATGTCTCTATCTCTGTAATGTACTCAGATAAACGAGTGCATTCTCTAAGTGCTTCTGTCACTGTGTTTAATGCGTTCTGTGCAAGACTGTATGGTATAGTTAATGCCACACAAACTGTAAAGTGTTTAATATTGGTAGTTCATTTTGAAATAAAAATAGTGAAATGTTCATTAAGAGTTACATTTTTTGCTGGAGGAAACAGCTGATGAGGTAAACGCTGAGGAAAACATGACTGCTCCCCCATGACATTGGGATACAGGTGATACAAGGTTATCTATATCAAAGAACTGCAAATAAGCAGATATTATAACAATTTATACAACAGTTCTGTCTGGTTCTCGAATCTGATTGGCTGATAGCTGTGATATATTTAAGTAATATTAGCACCCGTACAGCCTCTTTACCCTTTGTGTATTACTCCGCCCACATACAGCCAGCAAAAAGTAGACTCTACAGACCTAAAGTTTAAAAGATGCTTGCTCTGCTGTTTAACTGTCAGCTTATTATTTGAATCCAAGGCGGAAAAAAAGTAGTTCCTCATACTAAAGGGTATTTGAGACTCTCCATGTTTGATTTTGTTTTTATCTACACAATTATACCATCAAACTGTTGTATGAATGCAATTTCACACTCGTAACAGTCCGATATGGCTGTATATCGGCACTGGTGGGAGGCGTGCGTTGGGACTTGACCTGCAGCCTCAACCTCGTGCCAACGCACGCCTCCCACCAGTGCCGATACACAGCCATTTCGCACTGCTACTCGTGTGATATTGCTCATTTATCGATAAACACACACTTCGTTCTCTCGCTGTCCACGGCAGTGAAAAACTAAAGACGGGGAGGAGCCGAATTCTGTTTCCGTTTTCTTATCAAATTTAAAGGGGACTAAGGCGATTAATTTAGTTTTACAGCCCCGCTAAAATAGGCCTAGCAACGCCCATGGTGCCAGCTACTAGCATTCTTTAAAATATCATCTTTTGTGTTCAAAAGCTGAAAGAAAATCATAAAGTTTTTGATCTACTGAAAGGTTATTGCACACTGAATCCGAAATTTTCGGCCGTAATTTTCACAAAAAAAAAAAAAAAAAAAAATCGTGTCTCCGAAACTTTCGTCGATCATAAAAATGTTTAAACCAGGTTTGTTTTTTTTGTACTTTTCACACATGAAAAAGTGCTTTGAGAGGTGTTTTGAGAACCCCCTACATGCTGGATTCAATTGGAAAATTTCGAATTTCTCACTGCGCTGCATGGGTCCCTCCGATAAGGGCGTGACCACTCAATTTCGATGCCAACAGTTGGTCAGTGAGTTAATAAATATGATGAATGAGAACACACAGGCATGTGCGTAAAGACATAAAATGTACTGCTGTACAGCAACAGCTCATCTGTTTGTTTCGGTCGTTTTTTTAATGGTTTCATGATGGTGTGCTTTATCTGCCTGATTCCCCCTGAAGTGGGCGGGTTGTGTGACGCTTGATTCGGGGGACGTTCTGGGGGCGGAGTTTGCGTAACACACTGCGAGCCACTAGCCCGACAGTGGAAACGCGACATGATGTCAGCCTCACTGCTTAATCCCCCCAGCGATTGGCCCAGCCCGGCCTGATAAAAGCCCTAGCTCGCACTGGCCCGACAGTGGAAATGCGGCTAGTGACTGGCAGACCTCCGCCCTGCTGCTGTTCAAAGGAGTGTGTGTGTGTGTGTCCATACATTTGACGTACACGGCAGCCATCCATTATAATGTGTATGGTACTGGTAGTCTCTGTTCAGCATTAGTTTACATATGTAAATGTGCAAAGTATCACAAGCAATGTATCAAAATTCTACTGATTTTCTGAAATAAACTGCATTTGGGGATAATCCAGCGCAGCTCTTTAATAATGAGCTGAACTCTTTGTCCTCTCTTGGATAAACACAATATGCAGCCAATTCCTCTTTCTTTTTCTACTATCGCTGCTTGAACTGACTCTGAAATGTTTTGTGTTTTTTCGGGATGGATTAATTATTACACATCGGACTCAGTGTGCAAGGTTTGTTTACGTGACAAATTTTTCGCATATAAATATGAAAAAAACGCAAACAGAAATGTCAGACTTTAATGTGCAAAGACCTGAAGGGTGAGAAAATTATGACAGAATTAACATTTTTTGGTTGAACTATCCCTCTAAATTTTTAATTCAGAGATTTCATTCAGCGAGATCTTCGGATGACTTTATCATGTCTTAATTCTTGTGATTCTTTAGCCTCGGTCTCTCTTTGAGGCTCCTCAGGGGCCAGTGGCCTAATTAAGCAACAAAATGAATGTTCTGTTCCGTTTCTCAACAAAAGGAGGGTTCTAGGTTTCTGACTCCCTTCCAGAAGTGCAAGACGCACGCCAGCTGGACACAAACACACCCCCCCACACACACACACACACCAAAACAAAGCTTTTAGAGGGATTTTTTTTTTTCGTTTTACAAATGCAAATGACAAATTCACAGATTTTCTAAGGTATAGGGATGAACTGCAAATATTTAAAAAAACTAATTTTGTCCCAAGTTAGTCTTATTCTTATTCAAATGATTTTTTTCCATATGAATAAATCCCACATTAATAGAACAGACCGGCTGCAAATTGGCAAAAAAAGGGGGAGAACTACTTGTAAAAACTGAATTTCACAGCAAAGAGAAGTGTGAACCTGAGGATCAACGCCAAGTTCACACATTATGTCCAGTTAAATACATTTTTTAGCTAATTACCGCCTGCTTTTATCACAGGTCTAATTCCACTACTGATTATAATTAGCATACACTGATATCAGGAAACATTTGAATGCGGCCCAATTTTTCCTGTCCAGTCAAAAACAGTAGTGTAACTGTATGTTCACACCAAAGGCGGTGAGAGTGTCAAAGCTCGCTACATTGATCTCATATTTAAAGGGGCCGTTGCAGCATATTATATAAGTTACAGTTCCCGCATAAACCATGCTTTCTAGCTTGAAATTGTGGCCAACTTTCATCAAATTCATTTAATAATGGAAGATCAAGTTGCATGTGCTGTGGCTTTGCTCCACCTAATTATCCAATGTGTCCATATGTCTGAAATATCCTTAAGCAGCAATACTGATTTGTATTGTTGCATGAGTTCCCGTAAAAAAACAAATATATATATATATATATATACAGTTAAAGTCAGAATCATTGGCCCCCATGTTTATTTTTTCCCCAATTTCTGTTTAATAGAGAAAAGATTTCTTCAACACATTATCATAATAGTTTTAATAACTCATTTCTAATAACTGATTTATTTTATCTTTGCCATGATGACAGTAAGTAATATTTGACTAGATATTTTTCAAGACTCTTCTATACAGCTTAAAGTGACATTTAAAGGCTTAACTAGGTAAATTAGGTTAACTAGGAAGGTTAGTGTAATTAGACAAGTTATTGTATAACACTGTTTTTTTCTGTAGACTAACGAAAAAATAAATAGCCTAAAGGGGCTAATAATTTTGAACTTAAAACGGGTTTTAAAAAATGTAAAACTGCTTTTATTCTAGCCAAAATAAACAAATAAAAAAAAATCAGATATTATTATAATTTCCTTGCTCTGTTAAAGATCATTTGGGAAATATATATATAAAAAAATTCAATGGGGGGGCTTATAATTGTGACTTAAACTATGCACACACACACACACACACACACACACACACACACACACACACACACACACACACACACACACACACACACACACACACACACACACAAACACACACACATATATATATATATATCATTAATGTACATCAGTAACTCACCAATAACTTTTTAATGTATGTTCCTGTCAGAAAACATCGCAAATAATTGAAAATCTGGTGACTGCAATAATCAAACCCTTGAGAACAACAGTGGTCGAAACCAAAGTTCACAGTGACTATGTTCTCTGGACTCCTCTCAAGCGGTGAACTTCTACATTCTGATCGCTTGCCGTCAAACCGCGTCATAGCTCATTACCATAAAATTGACTTGATTTCAACTCTCCTTGACACCCACACCGACGAAGAAGCGCCACACTGCTCCTCGACGCTTATTGCCAGCGGCTCCCATTGAAAATGAATGACTTTCGGCTACTTTGACGCTCTTATCGCTTTCAGTGTGAACGTACAGTAAAAGTATGGTTACTATTGCTCATTTTTTGAAGAGATGCACCTAAAAATGAAAAATTACCCCCAAGTGGTTCCAATCTACTTTCTTTTTTTCCTGGTTGAACTTAAAGAAGATATTTTGAAAAAAAAACAAAAAACCTGTAACTATTGACTTCCATAGCAGGAAAAACAAACACCATGAAAGTCAATGGTGTCCCGCTTTCTTCATAATGTTATTTGTTGTGTTCGACAGAAGTAAGTTAAAGGTTTGACTTGTGAGTAAATGATGACAGAAACTTTCAGTTTTGGGTGAACTGTCCCTTTAAGAGTTGGTCAAACAAACCTATACATTAAGTATAAACCTTTATCCTACACTTCTTGTGCAACAATCTGACATGTATTTTTCATCTATTCCATCGATTCATCTATTTTATCGATTCCGTGCAGATTTCGTAAAAAAGCAGTAGCTGAACTCTCTAACATCAGGGTCAGAGTAAACTAGTATTGGAGCAGAACAGACCGCACCACTTCTGCCTTTCACACACAATTAACTCAGCAAGCAACCATCTCCATGGAGTTAATGTTTGTGTGTGTGTGTGTGTGTGTGTGTGTGTGTGTGTGTGTGTGTGTGTGTGTGTGTGTTAGTGTGTGGTGTGTACAGCGGGGCAAAGGGAAGAAAGGGCAAATGCTGTTAACACTGCTTGTGAACCTTAACATCTCTCTCTCTCTCTCTCTCTCTCTCTCTCTCTCTCTCTCTCTCTCTCTCTCTCCCTCCACTCTCTCTCTTTCTCGCTCTCTTCCACACACAAAATCCCAAAACAACTATTTACCTGGTTGGCTCTGCATAAAGGTTTGCTTTTAGCCTGAAAGGAAAAGAAAACAGTTAAAACAGAATAATGACAATCACAATTAAAAGAAAGATGAATTATTATTATTACTATTATTAATGATAATTATATAATATTATAATTAAAATTTAATTGTTTTATAAATATATATTTATATATATATATATATATATATATATATATATATATATATATATATATATATATATATATATATATATATATATATATATATATACATACATACACACACACACACACACACACACACACACACAGAACAAGAACAAACATTGGCTCGTACTGTAGACATAAAGGACGATAAAGGAAAACAAAAAAAAAAAAGAGACAACAAACAAAACCCCATCATAGTCAAAGAACATAGAATCAAAACTAGAAAGAGTATATAACCTACATCTCAGAGGGGTCACTGGATTGCTCTTGAGATATAGAGTTGTCAAATAAATTAAGAAATTGACCACAAGTAGCTGAAGATTTTCTTAAGGACCTAGCTCTTACAAATCTAAATTTCTCCATCTGAATAACAGATATTATTTCGGATATACTGGAATGAAGAGGGTAAAAGGGATTTCCAATTGTTAAGCACTCATCTTAACGACCATGTCTTGCATTAAAAAGTTATCCAAAGTTTACCTTCATATTTTTAGTCAGTTTGACTGTAGTAAGTTGAAAAGTTTATTTGATTCATTTAAAAAATGTAGGACAGCAAGAATTTAGTTTACTATGCAGAGAGATTATATATGTTAGCATTGTAAATCAACTCAGAACCCGATGTATTAAACATAACTTGGATACAGAACTCAGCTCATCCTGCAATACTAAATAAAAAAGAGCTGGAACGATTTCTACCCTGAACGGAAGTACAAAGCAAGAATATTAGAAATTCTAAGTGCTGACAGTTGAACCAATTTGGTTTGGTTAGTTATGTTGCTGTAATGTAAAAGAGGGGTAAATTTGAATTTATTAGGTAATCAGCAAATGTCATTTTTTAAGTCCTTTTTTACAGTTTTTTTCTTTTTTTGGGTGAAAAAACCTTTCTCAATCCTGAGACATTGAAAGTGAAGTGAAGCAAACAAAAACACTGTCAAACCATTCCATGTGATTTCTGTGTTTCAACTGTAATCTTACAGAGCTCCAAAACCACTTTTTTCACCTAATAAAAACTTTAAAAAGATTTACAATAGGATCACAAATTTCTAATAATTTCCAAAACATGACAACAAAATGATTTAACTTGAAGAGTTTTTGCAGTAAGCCAGCAGTTCTCAATCCTGGTCCTCACGGCCCCATTGCAATGCATATTTCATATGTTTCTCTTACCGCTTCAGTGGTTTGTTTAATTTGACTGCAAGTGCCCTGCGAATTGGACATCACAGGATACTCTGCCATGATAGCAGATAGAACATGTTCAATTCAGAGAGTAACATGTGCACAATGTGACGTCCATGCTAATCACGTGATTACAGTTAAATGACTCTTCACAATACTTTAATAATACAAATACTGCAAACAGTTGAAGTACACTTCCAAGTTCGGCTGATTTCCCATATGTAGAGGGTAGAGAGCAGTGAACACTATGTAGGGAACAAGTCGATCTCAACACAGTTGCTTCATTGAGTGTTCATGTAATGAGCTGGTTATTTAATCAGTGTTAAACAAAGAGACATGCAAACTAAGCAGGATCGTGATTGAGAACCTCCTAAAACACACATAAAGGGATAGTTCCTGCAAAAATCATTAACCATTTACTTGTTTAAGATCTTTATGAGTTTATTTTCTTTATATTTATTTGTTTATTTTATATATTTATTTTCGATAAAAGGTATTTTAAAAAATAATGAAAACCTGTAACCATTGCCATCCATCATATTTGTTTTTTCTGACTACACTTAAAAAAATAGATTCATTGAATTTCTTTTTTAAGCTTTAAGGCTGAATTTAAACAAATAATTTTGTAATGTTCAACTTAATTTGTTTGTTTAAATTCATTCCATTTAAAATAGCTTGCAACTGTTACTTTAAAAAAATAGCAAATCCAATAAATATTTTTAGGGTATGGAAGTCAATAGTTACAGGTTTTCAGCTTTCTTCAAAATGACTCATATACAGGGTTTTCATACACATTTTTACTACATAAATTCTATGACTTTTTCAGGACTTTCAAGTCAATTTTCATGACCTAATGTTTCTTGTAATGTCTACATATACGTGGCAAATCATAAGAAAAACAATGAACGCTTTTTTTTACAGCATATCATAAAACACGCAACAATCTCTTTAGTTTCAATTAATTTTTATATCTATGTAAAATAGATGGTGCTTACACAGCTCTAATGATGTGAGCCAAGAAAAGCAGTAAAAACAACTAACCTCCCTTTCAGTATACAGATATTTGTCAAACTAATTTTAGATGATGTTAATAGAGTGTTAGAATAATAATAGTAGATAAAACTATAAAAAAAAGCCGCGATCACACTGAACTTTTCGCTCCATAGACTTCCATTCAAAGGCATGCGAATGCAGCAGACCAGAAACACAAGCACGTGCGACGAGTTTTACATTTCACTGCATTCGAAAGTTCAAGCTTGGTGAATTCGTACCTGCGGAATCGCATCAGGTGATTGTGTTAGATAGAAGATCATTTAAAATAATAATTTTAAAATATGGAGCAATCACTCACTTTTAATAACGTCTAATCATATTGTTTAATACAACCCAAGCTCATTCTGGAAACGTTGCCCCGCAGACGTTTCTGGAGACCGCGATTTACGTGGCCGGAGGTACGTAAGGCCGCGTTTAGTTTTTTTCGAGCGAACGCCGCTCCGCCCCTCCTCTTCGCGCTTGCTGGCCGACGGCTTGTCTCCGAGTGGAGGGCTTTCCCGATGCAACCAGTTTGTCCGCTTAGCTCACAGCGTTGCTTCGGCGGAGCGGAGGCCCCGGAGGAGGAGCTGGCCGCGGGGACGACGACTGGGATCGAGTCCGGGGAACAGCGGTTCCGGAAATCAGGTAAGACAAAAAACGGAAAGGCCGAGAACGCGGTGGGATCCGAAAACGCAGTCGAAATCAAAGACGAGGGCTTTTGCTTTTTTTTTTTTTTTCTGGACGGCTTTTGCAAACTGTCGCTCGGGTTTAGGGAAGGAGGAGGAGGAAGAGGAGGGCGGCCGAGTCGGCAGATCCGGCAGCTTTTCGCGCGAGAACGGCGCGAGCGCGAACGGTGCGTGCTCCCGCGAGGCGCCCAAGACGTGGAAAAGCGCGCACAGCGGTCTCTCGCGGATCCGCGAAAACAAAAACCTCTGGAATACGTACCTCCCGGGACGTAAATCGCGGTCCGCAGAAACGTCCGCAGGGCTACGTTTCCACAATGAGCCAGGGTTGGTTTAATACCACCTTTTTTCACAGCGATGTGCGACAGAATTTCACAAGCACAAGCTTTAGTGTGACTGCAGCTTAAATCGCTTTGGACAAAAACGTCTGCTAAATGACTAATGTAAATATAATTTACATGAATTTTCCAAAATCTTATGGGTTTTTCTGTTTTTCCAAAACTTTTCCAGGCCTGGAAAATGCCATGTAAAAATTCCCTGACTTTTCCAGGTTTTTCATGAGCGTATGAACCCTGTATATAACTGAGTAAAGAAACTCATTGAGAGAGAGTAAATAGTATAATAGTGAGTAAATTCATTTTTAGGGGGAACTCCCCCTTCAAGGAAAAAACATCAAGACAACATCCAAGACTATATAGTTAGTAGTTACCCTGGGGACTTCTCCATAAGATTTTGTACACCAGAATGGCCTTACTTAATGTAGTCTTCTATTGTGCATATAAGATAATGGTTTCAGCGTGTGAAAGTGTAACCATTATCAGTGAGATAAATGTGTTATCGCATGATAATGTGAGCATTAGTGGAGCAATCAGTCGGAATGAGTGTAAACACAGCTAATAAGGCTGGCTGGTTGCCTGTACGGTTGAAGTCACTCAGCTTGGTTAAAACTGCTGAGTTGAGATTTGTATGGGGCAGATCAGTATTACAAAGAGAGGATAGAAAGGGGAGCACATGTAAATGCTCAGACCGAACGCTCCGCTCCACCCGTGGCCTTAATCCCAACCCCACAACCTCTGAAAGGGCTTTTGAGGAGAACCTCACAATGACCTGATAAAGAGCTGATGTTGACAGCTCGGCGATGGGCCAGAATTAGTGTTTCAGGGGTGACAACTTTGTGAGACCGGGTACGGGAAGTACTCCGTAGGGAGAAAGGGTCAATCTCCCATGTGACAAACAGGGTGGAAGTGCATGTGTGTGTGTGGGAGGGGGGGTGATCTGAATTTCAGATAGGCTTTGGATTGGGTGTGTGTGTGGGTGGATTTACTTAACCATTCTTTGGGGACAAAATTCCTCCCACAAGTTGTCAAAATGTGACAAAAGCTGCTTTTCGAGTGGTTTTCAAAGGTAAAAACTGTTATTAAATTTAGATTCTGTTGGAAACAGATCATGCGTAATAACCTGACATTGATTAAAGACATAGTTCACCCAAAAATGTCACTTATCTCACATTTTACTTGTTTAAAACCTATTTAAGTTTTGTTAAATAACAAAAGAAGTTATTTTAAAGAATGCTGGATGGTACTTGTTGACGATAAAAGTCAATTGGTTCCATCATGGATTTTTAAAATATCGTTTTTTTGTGACTCTTAAAAGTATAAAACCAGATGAGGCAGAGTAAGTGGTGAGGTAATTTTCATTTCCGGGTGAACTACCTATTTAAGAGTGTGTCCTGTAATATTTTAGATGTTTTACAACTGTTCAAAAGTAGTTTTTATTATTATTTGTATTATTATTTTTTAATTTTTAATTTTATTGTTTATGAAAGTTCATTATTTTCAACAAGGCTGCGATGTTCATTCATTCATTCATTTTCCTTCGGGTTAGTCTCTGATTTATCAGTGGTCACCACAGCGGAATGAACCACCAACTTTTCAGCATATGCTCTTTCAGCTACAACCCAGTACTAGGAAACACCCAAACACTTTTGCATTCGCATACACACTAATTCACTATAGCCAATTTAGCTTATCCAATTGACCCTTTGCTAAGCCACACCCGAAAACCGCCACACACCAATCGTGGCTTAGCAACCGTAACTTTGTGCAGGAGGTCTGTCAATAAAGCTAAAAGTCTGAAAGTGGGGTTAAGTTGGTTTTGTTTTTGATATTCCTGACACATTCAGTGATAGACGGCAATAACACCTCTTACCCTAAAACGATCTTAACTGTTTCTTACAAAAATACAAAGCAGGTTATGTTTCCCAGCTGCCTTTTTCTTTTTCTTTTTTCGCTCAATATTATGAGCACTGCTCCGTTTAAGCCTTCCCCATAGTAGTCATACTAATATCAATCATATTTCCATCTGTTTCAAGCTACTGACATTTGAAATTACATATCAACAGAACAAAACCGAGACAAACTGAACACTTGCAATCAATATTCTTCACCCGCAGCTCTTTTTCAGTAATTTGTATCCCTCATGCCCATGCCAGAGCTAGATTTCACTTATGTTTTCGTCGGTCTGTTAGAGATTTAGTCATTGGTGATAATGTTATAGCGGATTAGTGTCTGCTTTTATATTTGGTGTCAGATTAATATTTGCTGGTAGGGAAAATCTATTTGTTCCTTTCTGCTATTTATACTTTGATTTGCATTTCAATTGATTTATTTATTCCACTTAACTGCAAATTAGAATAGAAACTGTATAAAAAGCACACAAACAAACTGACAGTAAAGGTACTGTACATTGTAATGGGTCAATGATGCTAATATTTGGCACAAATCCATCAATTTCTCCTTTCTGACTGCTCTTTCTGTGAATGAATTATGTAGAAGCGCTGTCCACTATCCATATTTCATTGCACAACATCTAATCTTTCAGGCTTTTTGGCTAAAAAAAAAAAATCATGGTTTAATTAGTTATTATTAGATTACATTTATATTTTACCTATCCTGCTGTGCATGAACTAAACTGTTGAATGGTCAGTGTACAAGGCGGCTAGGCTTTAGCTTTAATTCTGATTAAATAATTTTCTAATTTGTTGCCTACTATGTGGTGAATATACCCCTGTAATGCAAACTGCAGTCCTTTTTTGTCTGGCTTTCTCGGATAGCACACCTGATTAGCCAAAAATGACTAATTATATCCATGGGAATGTCTGACTCCGGTGCATACACATTGTAATAGATGTGCCAGACACGAAAGCTTGACAGGCGTAGCAACAGTAACTAAGGAGGGCGGGGCTTAGCAAAGGGTCAATTCGCCTATAGCGCATGTCATTGGACTGTGGGGTAAACCGGAGCACTCGGAGGTAACCCACGCGGACACGAGGAGAACATGCAAGCTCCACACATAAACACCATCTGGCCTAAACCAGCAACCTTCTTGCTAACCACTGAGCCACCGTGCCGCCTCTAAGCTGCTTCGTTTAATTAAAGTTACAGTAATACTGTCAAATAATATTAAAATGCAGATTTCAGTTTTTACTCCTGTAATAACAAAGCTAAGATTTAGCATCATTAAATCGTCATTACATCTTTAGAATCATGTGATTTTTCACAAGTTATTTTGTTAAGATGGTTTGGTGGTCAAGTAACTTTTTTTTATAAGCAATTTAAAAATAAAACTTTAATACTTTTAGGGATGATGTGACGTTAGAAAAATAAAATAAAATTGTATTCTTTAAGACTTCTGATAATAAATGTACAAAAATTTTATCAAAAGAACACTTAAAAGTTATAATATTATTACTAACTATAATATTATTATATTAGAACAATTAACAGTGTTTTGAATCACATTTTCAGTTGTGTTTTACTGTTTTACTGTGTCTTCAGATCTTAAATATTTGGGGGGGGGGGCTATTTTTCTTTTTTATTATGTCATATAATAAGATATTATAATTACATTTACATTTAGATGCACTCAAAATATATATATATTTTTGAGTCATTTTTCTTAAGTAAAATGAGCTGAAACAACACGATTCTTGAGATTTCATTTTGGGACAACTTAATTTTTTATGTTTAATCCATGTAAATTTGTTAAAAGTGTTAAAAAGTTAACTTGATCGATTTGTGTTGGGTCAACATGAATGAATTATGTGCAACCCTGCATTTTTTTACAGTGTGTAATCATTTAGCAGACACTTTTTTTTTAAGCGACATACAATTGAGGAGGCATTCAGTGATTCAACAAGATTGGGCAATACACACAAGAAGTGCTCAATATATGAAATATGACTTTTTAAATATTTCATTATATGTGAAATATCTGAGGCTCAGTGGTTAGCACTCTCGCCTCACAGCAAGAAGGTCACTGGTTCGAGTCCTGTCTGGGGCAGTTTTCTGTGTGGAGTTTGCATGTTCTCCCTGTGTTCAAGTGGGTTTCCTCCGGGTGCTCCGGTTTCCCCCACAGTCCAAAGACATGCGCTATAGGCGAATTGGGTGAACTAAATTAGCTGTAGTGTATGAATGTGTGTGAATGACAGTGTATGGCTGTTTCCCAGTACAGGGTTGTGCTTGAAGAGCATTCGCTGCGTAAAACATATGCCGGAATAGTTGGCGGTTCATTCCGTTGTGGTAAATGAGGGACTAACCCGAAGGAAAATTAATAAATGAATGAATATCTGAAACTCCTGACTCTTTAATAACCAGCAATTTTTTCACTTTCTTTTCAGATCCATGTAACTTTAGATGTTGCTTCACTGTTTTCCAGTGTTTGTGTATGGTTTGTTTCTTTGCTTGGTCAGTTTGTTTATATGCTTACAGGCTATAGGATTATATTTGCGACACAATTCTGCGTGCGATAGAACCTGTTTTGAGTGTGCTTTGACTGCATTTGCAGAAGTTGATGGCCCGATCAGATTTTGTGACTGTATCCCATTTCTGAGACTGAGAACAATAACAATATACAATATACAGCGGATAAAATAAGTATTGAACACATCATGTTTTTTCCTGGGAATAATATTTCTGAAAGGAGCTTTTAACATGGAAATGAACTAGGTTTTGGTAAAAACACAAACAATACAAACATACAAAATAAAACAAAACAAAAACAGTCTAAAAAATGAGTTGTGTGTAATAACAATGAAATGACACAAGAAGAAAGTACTGAACTACTAAAACATGTTTAATACTTTATATAAAAGGCTTTTTTGGTCATGGCAGCTTAAAGATGCTTCTCATTTGGATCGTGAAGTCACGTGCATTGCTCAGGTATGAGTTTATTCACAGACTTCAACAGTGTGTAAATCTATCAAATCTGAGCTTTAGTTTGTATTTTATATCGGACTCAGGTCAGGTCATTGGCTGGGCCATTCTACAGCTTGATTTTCTTTCTCTGAAAGCATTTGAGAGTTTCTTGGCTGTGTTTTGTTTCATTGTCTTGCTGAAATGTCCAGCCTGGTTTTATCGTTATCCTCCTGCTAATGTAGATTTTAGACTAAAGCAGCTAATATTAATTTACAATGATAAAGGTAAGAGGGTTGCTGAAGAGCTACTGAGAGATTTCAGCTGCTGTCTGGGCTTTTACTGCTTTTTTACACCTCCCTTTCTTCATGTGTTCAATAATTTTTCCCTGAGTCATTTCATTTTAGTATACACAACTAAATTTGTAAACTAATTAGATTAGTTTTCTTTGCATAACTATATTCATTTCATTGTTTCCAACATCTGGGGAAAGTTTCGAGTCAAAGGCACCTTTAGAAATAAGTTTTCTGAGAAAAATGGTGCAATGTTCATTGTGTATTTCCTTCACTGTAATTAATAATCTTTTATAAAAGTCTAAGTATAGTCAATTATGAAAGTCTAAGAAGTGGTAATAATTCTACTCTGTCTTATATTCCTAATCAGAAGTCGTCCGTAATTCAAGTAATACTGTTATTGGTTTTCAAGCCAACCAATCATTTCAGGGCAACTGTGCAAATCCAAAAACAGACTTTAATTGCAAAATTGATTTTTGCTTGCTCAATAAGTGTTTGTTTTTTTTCTTAACAAACAATTTTCAACACAAAAATGAGTTAATATGAGTGCAACAAGGAATTTTATTTGCTCAAAACATGATCTTTTGTGCACAGAATTGTTAACGTACATGCAAAAAGCCATTTTGCATGCGCAAAACATGATCTTTTCTAGGTAGAATTGTTAATACACGTGCAACATGTCATTTTGTGCACTTAAAACATGATCTTTTGTGCACAGAATTGTTAATGTACATGTAAAAAGCTATTATGCACGCTCATGATCTTTTGCACGCAGAGAGATCATGAGCGACACAATTCGCAGTTTGTGTTTGTGTGTGTGTGACTGTGTATCTCACCTGCACTCACACTGGTTGTGTTCAATGAAAGGCAGCTGCACAAGTTCATGCTTCATGTACGAGGTCTTCATGAGCTGTGGAGTTTAACAGAGCAGGAGTCAGATTTTGTCCACACACAAACACACACACACAGCCTGTTCCGCATAGTAATGACTTCATCTTTTATCTTTCGATCTCTCTATACAGTACGTGACCAGGATCCAGTCTGATGCATTACACTAGAGACTTCATCTCCACATGGTGAATATGTATGACTAACTCATGCTGTTTGTCCTCTGTGTCGTTTTTCAAGCATGTCTAAGCTCAGATAGCAGGTTTGATATCTTGCATGTTACACAGTGTGTTTGTATGGAGTTACTTTGCCCTCTAAAATCTGCATTATCGGCACAAATACTGCAATTATAGTTATTTTTAGACAAATGCATCATCAAACATGTTTGTGTTTGAGCAATTTTAAACAACCTGATCTGCAGGTGAGTAATTTGAGCATTGCATTCTGTATCCTTGATGTGCATGTAAAATTGTACATGTATGTGTGAAAGGATTGTGTGAAATTTTGTATGAGATGTGAAAGAGGGCAGCACCCGCAACTTATTTGCTTTTTTTTTTTTTTTTTTTTACAAATAATTTTCATTGTAGAATAAGAGTAAAATACATTCTGTGGTAAACATGATGTTGTAAACATTTGATCTACAATTCGAATTGTTCTGTAACACAAACAGACGTTCATGTATGTTTCTAATAAGCATTTTAAGAATGTTTGGAGTGTTAGACAATGGGCCCTATTATACACCCGGCACAATAAGGTGCAAGACGTGTTTGGTGCAATTTGTTGCTATTTTCAGACCAGCGCAGCCCTTTTGTGCCATGTTGTTTAAATAGCAAATCCATTTACGCCACTTTGAAGACTCGTGGGCGTGCTGGTCTAAAAAGGAGGCGTGTTAATGCATGTTGTTGCGCTGCTATTTTGAAGAACTGAAATATACAACGCCATTAACTAACTAAAAGCTGGTCTAGGATGCACAGCAATACACAAATATCTTTACATATGAACAAATTTAACGATTAAATGTTACAAAAAATATTATTTTTTAAATAAATATAAAAACCACTACCTTCATGCCTTCTTCATTTCAGAGGGGCTTTTCTCAGTTTATTCATGGCAATTTGCACTTGTATAATGGTAGTGCTATTAGCAGTATTATTTAATATATGCATATTTATATTTGTTTTAATAAAAACAAGCTTAGATTTGTCCACCTGTCAGGTTTTGGAGACGTCTGCATCACCATATGGGGCATGAGAATAGGACGTGTGTTTGGATATAACTCAGTTGTTTGATCACACTTCATTATTATTGTTCATTTATTTGTTTGCTGGAAATTAGAACTGAATTTAGAAATAGTTTTGAAACATCTTTTTGTGCTTAACAAACTAAATTAAATATTTGTAGGCTAGTGGTTGTCTTCAGTGGAGTGAGTTTCCTCCGTTTCCTTGTCCACGGAAGTAAAGGAGTAAAGTAAAGAGTAAAGTAAAAATGAAGGAAAGAGGCCAAATGGAGGAGGCTCGTTCTTTATCCTCGTGCTGCAGATTATCTGTTTAACTGTTTTCTCCATGATGAAGAGTTCAGTTTTTCTAATTACAAAGTCCTTCATGTAAATAGCAAATGCCCCGTGGTACCAGGAGTTTCGGGAAATCTTCACCCTGGCTGGAGTGTTTTTTTTTTTGAAAGTTTTGGTTTCAGTCACCCGATACTTCATTTTAGTGTAGACCAACAGCGAAACTGTTTTGAAAATACCCATGTTCATGTGGACAGGGTCTCAGTATAGGCAATTTAGCTTACCCACCCAATTGACCTGAACCTCATGTCTTTGGACTCATGGGGGAAACCAGAGCACCCGGAGGAAACCCATGCCAACACGGGGAGGGCATGCAAACTCTACACAGAAATGCCAACTGACCCAGCCGGGGCTTGAACCAGCGACCTTATTGTTGTGAGGCGATTGTGCTACCCACTGTGCAACCGTGCTGCTTGTATTTATCATTGTTTTTACATTATTATTAAAGTTGTTTAAATGTTTGCTGGTTTCCACCTCTTTCTTCCCTTTAACAATGAGTTTCAAAGCTTGTCACAGAGAGCAACCAAAACAATTGTACAATGTCATCCAACAATTTAGCTGAATGGATCACATGACAAAAAACGTACCATCGTTTTCAAAAACCTCCATATTCACAGTTCACACTAAAACATGAAACTGTAATTTTCAAATTCATCCACTTTGGGGAGCACTGTCGAAAAGGTTGGCTTAAAATGGCATCTTAGTGTGTGTGGTCATGATCAAACAGAGATTTTCTTTTTTTTTACGAAAACCTATTAGTGTGGACATGGCCTGAGTGTGTGGAATTTACAATGTCAAACAAAATATCCAAGTATCATCAATTACATTTACTACATACATATCTTATTTTGCTCTTGAATTGCAAAAACCCTATTATCAAAACCAATGGTTAATTCTTGCAGGAACCAGTGTTCTGTGCTTTAATGTCAGTGATATATGTACTCTATATATAGCACTGTATATATTACCATTAAAAACTCAGGGGACAGTAAATTATTAGCCCCCCTGTTTATTTTTCCCCCAATTTCTGTTTAACAGAGAGAAGATATTTTCAACACATTTCTAAACATAATAGTTTTATTAACTGATTTATTTTCTCTTTGCCATGATGACAGTAAATAATATTTTACAAGCAAATTTTCAAGACACTTCTATACAGCTTAAAGTGACATTTGAAGGCTTAACTAGGTTAATTAGGTTAACTTGGCAGGTTAGGGTAATTAGGCAAGTTATTGTATAAAGATGGTTTGTTCTGAAGACTGTAGAAAAAAATAGCTTAAGGGGGCTGATATTTTTGACCTTAAAATGGTATTTAAAAAAATTAAAACCGAAAATAAAACCAAAATAAAGCCAATAAGACTTTCTCTAGAAGAAAAAATAATATCAGACATACTGTGAAAATTTGCTGAATCTGTTAAACATTATTTGGGAAAAAATTAAAGGGGAGCTAATAATTCAGACTTCAACTGTATATATGTATGTATATATATATATATATATATATATATATATATATATATATATATATATATATATATATATATATATAACCACACATATAAATTTGTGGTTGTGGCTGGAAGGGTATCCGCTGCGCAAAAAACATATGCTAAAATAATTGGTGGCTCATTTCCGTTGTAGGGACTCCTGATAAATAAGGCACTAAGCCAAAGGAAAATTCAATTGATATATAAAAAGCCGTAAAGTTTTTAATAAAATTAATTGTAACAACAACTATTAACATTTCTGAAGAATTATGTGACACTGATAACTAGACATTTCTCATCTCAGGTATTATTTACATTTTAGAATACATATAAAAAGAAGTGATTTATTTTATTATTATTACTATTATTATTATTTTTTAATAGTAATATTATTATTATTATTAATAATAATAATAACATAACAAGCAATATTGCTGTATTTTTGACCATTCAAATATACTTCATTGCAACTTTTTACCATCGCAAACTTTTAAAAAGGTCCCCAACGCCCCATTCACACGGGGCTTCAGCGTCAATGCTTGACTGAAGGCATGTCTAAAGTTGGGGCTGAATCGATCGTCACAGCAGCGTCAGCCAATAAAATTCAGTCAGCAATAGGCCACTGTCTAGCTGGTGTATTTGTATACAGCGATCTGATTGGCTGACGCTTTTGTCTGCGCTTGAAAAGTTGAGCTAGTCCCAATTTCTGCAGCGAGCAACGCCTCTGAAGCGGCGCCGACAGATCCACAATGCAGTTCGGCAACGCCTGAGGTCACCAATTCAAAGTGAATAGGAAGCGTTGATGCTGACGCCCCGTGTGAATGGGGCATAAAGGTATTTAGATATAAGAGTGTATGAAAGCCAATGTATTAAAGAGAAGGAAAATGAAAACAAATGGCATTTATTTTAATGATATATAAATCAAAACAATTATTAAATGTAATAATTAGATGTAAAAATCTAACAATGTTCTTGATCTGACCTGTATATAAAAAAGTAAACGAAATTGTATTAAAACGATTTAATGATTCAAACTTGCTGACACATGAAACCTAGTGGTTGCAAGTGTCCAATTATAAAAATTTAAAAGGATAATTACTATTTTGGGGCTGCACTGCATTCTTCATAATAGTCATCAAGTGATTTTTGCTCTAAATATGCCAGTTTTATAAATCATAATAGTGCATTTTAGTTGGCGTCTTACATAAATTATGGTAACTGTTTTATAGCCACTACATTTTGCTCATAAACTAATAAATTAATCAATTAAACAATTTAACCAAACATATTTTAACTTTGTCTCACACACCTCACGCACAATTATTTCTCCAACAGATGTTTGCTGCCTTATAAACATTAACATAATATATATCGTGTTTTTAAGCACTGTGACACTTGATGTCAAACGTTCATGAACCCTGACCTCAGTTAACGTGATAAATGGACACCTGCGTGACCTGCGTGCGCTGCATTAGTGTCTACCTCCATGACAAGTGTGTGTGTTTGTGAAGGCACACACTCCAGGGCCTCATCAGAGCAGCAGCCTCCACAGCGGCGCAGTGTTACACACGACGGCAGAAAGAGGTGATTCGTCTCCCACGGAAACTCCTGCCAAACCTCCACCAGCGTCTCTCTGGGGTGACATCCGCTTCTCTGAAACACATCCAGCCACCTCACCACTGAGAGACACACAGAGAGAGAGAGAATCACTGTTGTGTCTGCATGACTGAGCTTTTAATAGAAGTCTATGGGACAAGACATGAATTAGATAATTTGCTTTATTGTGAAGTCAGACAAGGCAAGTTTATTTAAATAGCACATTTCATACACAATGGTAATTAATAGTGCTTTACATTAAAAAGAAGAGGAAAAAATGAAATTGACATTTAAAAATCTGTTAAAACAGGTTTTAAAGAATCAAAAAAAGACTTAATAGTGCAATTTGTCGGAGTCAAGTCTGTAAAGGCACAGCTAAACAGATGTGTTTTAAGCAACCCGGGCTCATTGTGGAAACGTAGTCCCACGGACGTTTCTGGAGACCGCGGAATACGTCCCGGCGGGTACGTACGGCTGCAGTTTTTGTTTTTGCGAACCCGCGAGAGGCCGCTGTTGTGCGCTTTTTCACATCTCAAATGCCTCTCGCGAGTGCGGTTCGTGCCCGCGCTGTTCTCGCGTGAACCCGCCAGAGGCCGCTGTCCGACTGACCGGATGATTGACTGCGTGACCGGCCAATCGACCGACCCGCCCTCCTCCTTCCCTGAACCCAACCAATTTTACCGATCGACTCGCCCGCCCACTCGCTTCCCTAAACCCGAGCGACAGTTTACAAACGGCCGTCCAAAAAAATAAAAGCCCTGATTTTTTTTTCTACCGCGTTTTCGGATTTCGCCGCGTTCTCACCCTGCTACGAAACTCGTTCACTTAATTTTTGGGATTCTGTTTTTGTCTTACTTGAGTTCTGGAACCGCTCTTCCCCGGACTCGAAACCGATTGCCGTGGTCAACTCCTCTCTGCATCTCGAGCCTGCCGACGTACACGGTGAGCTGAGAGGACAAACGGGTTGCAGCGGGGAAGCCCTCCACAAGGAGGTAAGCAGTTGCCAGCCAGCAAGCGCGATAGGGAACGGCGTCACACCGCCCCTTAGCTTGAAAAAAATAAACGCAGCCGTACGTACCTGCCGGTACGTATTCCGCTGTCTCCAGAAATGTCCGCAAGACTACGTTTTCAGAATGAGCTTGGGTTGGTTTTAAGTCTTGATTTGAATGTGCCTAATGTTGGAGCACATCTGATCATTTTTGGAAGCTGATTCCAGCAGTAGGGGGCGTAGTAGCTGAAAGCAGTTTCAGCAAGTAAGGCATAATGTAAATCTAGCTGGGTGTTCTCGCATTTACAATGATGTAACTGAAAATAGAAAACTTTTTCCTTGCGTTTTAAAAAATGTTTCACATCTTCAAAATGATCCGTGGCACATTTACACATTCATGAAAATTTCCAAAATGCTGTATTACGTATGCAAGGCCAGTATTTCACACTGTCACCTTATAAGTTGTTCACTTCCCATCACTGTTGGGAGGTGATGACATGCCATTCATGACTTTAATAATATGCGTTTTCAGTCCCAAAAACGATGTTGTCATATAATAATAGTTTAATATCCTAACTACATGCGATGCAGCGATGCGACATTCATCTTTGTTCAAACCATGTCTATTCTAGAAACTGTTTTTATTTCCATGACATTGCGGCATGACAACAGCATAAACTACAAAGATAATCATCACCTCAGGTACTGATTATGTGCTTTATTCAGTGTTAATTGCTACCAATGTGAGTTTGAATACCATTTTACGTGACATCTATTGCCATATACTGAAAGCAGCAGCAGATAGTTCACCTCAGATCTTGAAAATAAAATAGCAAACAGTTTGAAAATGAAAGTCAGTGACTGTGTACTTTTAATAATGTTAAATTGATTTAATACATATTAATTATATTTAGGCATGGGATGGTAACCGTTTTCAAGGTATACCGCGGTTTGGAAAAGTCAAGGTTTTAAAACCGCCAAAATTTTCTGTAATATAACTCCTAAGGTATGTGTAAGTTTTTTTATTTACATTTTTTTTTTCTTTAGGATAACAGTATCTCCAGCAGAAAAAAAATATCCAAAGATGTCGTTTTAAGTTTTGGAAACAAATGAAAACAGCAGAAGTCAATGATTCTTTTGAATTATTATAAGTCTTTCAAAAAATAAAATATATTAATTCCAAAGGGGAAAAAAGTTTTAGTTTTATACCCAGACATTTAAAAAGAATACATTTTAAAGCAGTAATCACAATATGGTGAAAACATGATATTTTTATTCAAGGTTATCATACCGTCAGAATCTTATACCGGCCTATGCCTTATTAGATTACAACCATTACCATTTCCTTGGGAGTGCAGTGGCTGATATTGGCTATGAATGGCTGGTTTTTAAATGTTTCTTTTGTGTCGGGTCGCGTTTTGTGCAGACGGTCAAATTGCTTGTCGCTGGAATCTTGAATTCTGAAAGGCTTTAGTCTGTGTAAACAACCGGCTAGATGTATGTTATCCCACTTATTACACGATTACTTGCCACAAAAGTAAACTGTTATGCACAAAATATTGATCTGACCTGTAATAATTCTCTAACTCTATAACTAGACAAAGCTTGAAGAAGGAAAAATGGCTGAATGCAGCCTATACTAACCTACTTGTATTAATATTCAGTCATAAAATGGCACCTATAAGCATATATGATTTGAAGTACCCAGATGAGCCTGTTTTATTAGTTTCTGTGGCTGTTATGTAAGGGATAAAGTACATCCAGGCGGTTGTGATCGCATAATAAAGGCTGACAGGCTCATTGGCAGCCTAACTTAAAGTAGAAGGCTGCTGTATAAGACTGAAGGGTTTTATTCTGTAAAAACAACCGCCTGGATGTACTTTATTCCATTTTTTACAAGGCTACTTTCCACAGAATGGAAAAAATACTTTAACTGCGTTAAGCATATAAATATGAATGTGAATGTATTCACTGATGGTCAAGGGTATTACCCAATACCCAGATGAGCTTGTGTTATTAGTTTTAGCATTTGTTATCTGAGATTATAACAAGGCTGTCTAGAGTACTTAAACCTGATTGGTCAGTCGTCATATTCCAAGGTATTTTATTCTGAGATAACTGCTAAAACAACTCAGGCTCATCCGGAAACTTCAAAACATCTTGACCTTCAATGAATGCATTGAAATCCATATACTTACATCCAGATTCAAATGTATCTGCTTGTCTATCAAGCAACCATTTTTGACTGTTTGGCATCGGTTGTCATTTCTGTCAGTTTTGCGGTTAATTTAATAATTAATAAACTATTACACTTCAAAACAATATTTTGTGTCTAATTTTTATATTTTGTGCAGAGTAGCCGTGTAATAATAGAGATAATGCACATCCAGGACAGTTATTTTTACAGAATAAAACCCTTTGGTCTTATACAACAGTGCTCTGCTTCACATCAGGCTGCCGATAAGCCTGTCGGGCTTTATTTTACGATAACAACCTCCTGGATGTACCTCATCTCTAACATTTCATACCCTGACTGAACAAACTGAATCATGTTTTTTTAGACAGCCATGTAATAACTAAAATAACATATTCTGCAATATCACAACTGACCAATCAGAATCAAGAATTCATGGAAGTCATGTAATAATTGAAAAGAACATCATATGTGTACTAACATATGAAGAGTTCAGATGCAAAACCTCTAAATGGCATCTGAAATTTTCTTCTAAAATGAACATTTCTATTAGGCTTCGGTGTTTAGGTTCAGTAATTTCACTATTATGGAAAAGAATAGTTTCTTTTCATGGTTTTCAAAGTGAAATAACTCAACATAAACAAAGGAGGCTGAGAATAATGCTCATTAATGGTGCATGAAATTTCAGACGACACTTACAGGTTTTTGCATCTGAACTCTTCATATATAGATTTTATATATTATATGCACACATATATATATATTGTTCCAAGGAAGTCAATTATTGACTCTATATTCATTCTACAGTATGCAAATGCATTCTGTAAATTTTTTCTTAGTCCTTTTCTGGTATCTGTGTGCACAGAGCATTACGATAATTACAAGCGATTCTCTTACACTAGCACTTGATGTTAACATCTTGTGGCTGTGCTTTCAAAATATCATGTATTTTTTAACATTTTCCTGGTTAAAAGCCTTGCAGAATAGACTCAGAATGTAAGTGCATTATAAGTTCACAATATTTTATTTTTTACGAACTGTAAGATTTAAATTTGATAATTTTAATTAGCTGTTTATAGACTGTAATCTGCACTTATTTAACATAGAACATTCATCTAAATATTAAACATCAATGTATTAGTACTTTAAGAAACTAAAAGTAAAAAGAAACTGTTTGCCCCTTACTTATTTCTCTTTTTTTTTTTGGCATGTTTGTCACAGTTTAATTTTTCAGATCATCAAAGTTAGTCAGAGATACCACATCATGCAGTTTTGAAATGAAGGTTTATATTATAAGGGGAAAACTAAGTACAAAACTACATAGCCCTGTGTGGAAAAGTGCGTGACACGTAACCCTATTAGCTGGTTGAGCTACCATTAACATTAGCAGCAAAAAAATAAAAATAAAAAAAATCAATCAAGCATTTTCAATAACTTGCAATTTGTCTGTTACAGTGCTGTGGAGGAATTTTGGCCCACTCATATTTACAGAATTGTTGTAATTCAGCCACATTGGAGAGTTTTCAAGCATGAACCGCCTTTTTAAGATCATGCAACAGCATCACAATTGAATTCAGATCAGGACTTTGACTAGGCCACTCCAAAGTGTTTATTTTGTTTCTCTTCAGCCATTTAGAAATGGACTTGCTGGTTTGCTTTGGATCGTTGTCCTGCTTCAGCTTGAGGTCACTAACAGATGACTGGACATTTTGATTTAGGATATTTTGGTACACAGTAGAATTCATGGTTCCATATATCACCCCAAGTCGTCCAGGTCCCAAAGCAGCAAAACAGTCCCAGACCATCACAATACTACTGCCACATTTTACTGTGAGTATGATCTTCTTTGTTGCATCTCATCGGTCTACAAAGTACTTTTCCCAAGGTCTTGGGGATCATCAAGAGTTTTCTGGCAACAAAATAAACCCTTTAAGTTCTTTTTGCTCAGCAATGGTTTTCGTCTCGAAACTCTGCCATGCAAACCATCTTATGGTGGAGTCATGAACACTTACCTTAATTGAGGCAAGTGAGGCTATCAGTGCTTTGGATGTTGTTGTTGGGTCTTTTGTGACCTCTTGGATAAGTTGTCGCTCTGCTCCTGCAGTAATTTTGGTCAGACGGCTACTTATAGAAAATTTTTTTACTGTTCCATGTTTTTGGCATTTATAGAAAATGGCTCTTACTGTGGTTTGCTGCGGTCTTAACACTTTAGAAATGGCTTTATGAGCTGTTTCAGACTGGTATATACAACCCAGGCTCATTCTGAAAACGTACCTCTACATACATTTCTGGAGACTGCCAAATATGCCCCAGGGGCTAAGTTTTTTGGCAGTTTCGGTTTAGCGAATCCACCAGACGCCGGTGTGTAATTTCTCTCGTGAATGCCATTTGCGCCTGCTGTTCTCACGTAAACCCACCAGAGGCCGAAGTCGTCTGACTGAATGACTGACCAATCGACTGACCCACCCTCCTCCTTCCCTAAACCCAACCCATTGTATTGATTTACTCGCCCACCCACTTCCCTAAACCCAACTAACAATTTTCAAAAGTAATCCAGAAAAAGAAAAGCTGTCATCTGATTTTTACCATGTTTATAGATTTTAAAACATTCTCACCATGCTATTTACTTGTTTATTTTATTTTTTGGATTCTGTTTTTATCTTACCTGCTTACTGGAACCATTCTTTACCAGACTCATTCTCTCCAGGTCTACTCTCTGCGACTCAAGTCCACCGAAGTATGTGGCAAGCTAACGGGACAAACTTGTAACAGCGGGAAAGCCGTCCATACATAGGTAAGTGGTCAGCTCGTTAGCATGAAAAGGAACGGCATCATACCGCCCGTGGCGTTCGTTTTAAAAATGAAATGCAGCCATATGTACTTCTGGCTACATAATTTGCAATCTCCAAAAATGCATCTTTAGATCTCAGCATGATTTCTTGCTTTTGAGGATCTTTTGGTCTACTTCACTTTTGCAGGCATGTACTATTTAAGTGATAAGCCAACATTTTTAAACACTTCTTCATACAAGGCTATGTAATTTTTACCCCTTAATAATAAAAGTCTTTATTAATAATAATAATATAATGTTTAAGTTTGTATGATAATGTGAAATATTAAAGTGTGACAAACATGAAAAAAAAAAATCAGTGAGGGGGCAAATACTTTTTCACACCACTATATATATATATATATATATATATATATATATATATATATATATATATATATATGGGTATGTGTGTGTTCACCAAAAACAGGTTTTATTAAATACACATTAGTGACCCCAAGCACTTACACTTCAGTGTAACTGGCATGTTATGCATGGCAAAGAGCATCAACAGCAGAACAATCAATTTTATTATACACTCCATTTTATTACATACTGCATTATAAACCCTCACAACACCAATATAATAAGATAACAAAGACAGCAAACTCAGTACCTTCTCCAGATTTGTGGCTCTGTGTTGGCATCCAGTGGTCTGACTAGAGGAAAGGACACAGACAATGTATCAGACACAACATTCAGCAGGGACAATAACAAACCTGCTTACATTATATAGAGAATTTAAAAGGTGATTCCAGCATGTTTACAGCTGAAGACAGAAACTATACTGCTTTTTCTAGTGTTTGTTTGTGCCAGAGCAGCATAAAGGTGGACGTTAGCACACATTCACACAAACATGACCTTCCTACAGTGGGGTACGAGCGCTCAAACAAGGTCACCGCTAAGGGAGAAAGCAGACTTTGCACTGCAACGCAAACAACACACACGTACATAGCTTCCCTGCTCCAAGCCTGAATGCTCGCTGCGTTGGGAGCTTTTCTAAGCGTGTGTGACAATCGCATTATAGGTTATCTCACACTGATATAGGAGGCATATTCAGACATGCTGTGAAAATAATTGTTTATTCTGAGACGATGATATTAAAGCAATAAACAATGGTATGAAACATCACAATAAGATTGAGATTTATTCATTAAGTGTGTGCAAACATACAAGGAATTTATTGACAGGAGCTCAGTGTACATACAGTATACATATCAACACAAGGGGACAGAAAGGTTTTTAATTGAGTGGAAAATCAAGTAAAATATATATAAATAGATACATACACAATAGTTCTGTCTGGTTCTCGAATCTAATTGGCTGATAGCTGTGCAATATTTTGTAACAACAGCACTCTTACAGCCTCCTCACCCTTATGTATTACTCCGCCCACATAGCGTAACAGCAGATCAAATACTCACTACAGTGACAAATATTGCAGCTGTTGGACACCATAATGTATTTTTGAGGCTTTTTTGGGCAAGAATGTCATTGTTTAGATTTCAAATATGCAGTTTATTTATGAGGATAAAGTGCCTATTTTAAATATTTATAATTTCGGAGATTTGCCAGCGGCTATCAGGCTGTCAGACTGAGCAGAGCAACAGGGAAGGCAACAGAGACCGCAAAATAAGTCCTAAAGGAGCATAGATTATATAACATAAATTATTATATTATATATCCATCTATCTATCTATCTATCTATCTATCTATCTATCTATCTATCTATCTATCTATCTATCTATATATATATATATGTATATATTTGTCACCGACTCGGTCCCAGTCATTCCCCTCGCTGGCCAGCAGAGGTCACCATCTCCGGACTTCTAACCATTACGTCATCCATTCACCCTGATCCCAGCATACCTGTTCTCCATTCCACTAATGACCCACGTACCACATATAAGCAGCTCACACACACACTTCAGTGCGAAGTCTTGTTTAGCCCCGGCCAGCATTTCTGAGCGTTCTATCCTGCCTGATCTCCCGTTTACCACTTCAGCCCGTTTCACGACTCTGCTCTGTCTTCTGCCTGCCCTCGACCAAAGCCTGTTTCCTCGGACTCTGATTCTCGCTGCCTGCCCCTGACCAAAGCCTGTTACACGGACTCTGAATCACGCTGCCTGCCTCTGACCCAAGCCTGGTAATCACTCTGCGTCTGTTATCTGCTAAACCTCCTTTGATGTGTATGTTGTATGTCCGCACAGCCGTGCGAGTTGTTGATGTTTAAGTGTGACTTAATGAATACTGCAAAATGGATCCCTCCGTGTCAGTCTCCCCGTTACAATATTATATTACATAAATTAAATAAACTACAGCTGATCAAATCATTTTAAAACTGGTGAGTGAAATTCTAAGTCGATCTCTCTCTTTTGTATTTTGTAGCTGTTACGATAACGTAACATCGTAGATCGTAGCTCTCCGGAGATCGCTGGTTTCCACTATATCATGAACTTCACTTCCACATTTCCCAGGACTACATATTCATACATGCACTTCTTCCAGACACGCACGCCTGCTCATTCATCTCGCTTGATTACACTCACCAGCTGAACCTTGTCAAAGACTGATAACACACCATACTTAAACCACTCAGTTACCTTTCCAGTTTGCCGAGTCTTGTTATCTTTCTCAGTAGCATTACTACGCGTTTCCCAGTCTTGTTATCCCGTGTACCGTCTGTTAGCCTCATTGTCTTTGCCTGCCGCCTGGCTTTCTGACCATTTGCCTGTATTCGACTGTGTTTCCGGATTGTCTCCAAATGCCTGTTTGTACCTGTGTTGACCATCGCTTGCTTGACTTTGATTAAACCTGCATGTGGATCCAAACCTTCTGTTGTCAGTGTCACTCCAATCGTTACAGTAGCACTGTATTTATACCATAGTAATCTGTAAACTTCTGAAATCCAAATCATCTAAAGGATTGTTAGTCTGCATTATTTGAGGGAACCGGAGGCAGGAACACTTCCCAAAAGACATAATAATTTGAATGGCATCTGCACTTATGTTAGTCTGTTTTTATTATTCCCGAGGTTTCCATAATCCTGGACCAGGCCATATCCTGAGCAGCTGCTGTGATGGTCATGGAGGAGTGGAGAGCATGAGATTGATTACTGTAAGACCCCAGTGACAGACGAGTCTTCGCATTGATCCTAAAGGGCAAGCCGGTGATCACTCCCACCTGCAGCTTCTCCACGATGGACGGCCAGCGTTGTCCAGCCTCTGGTGCCTAGACTGCAGCTCTGCACAAGGCATTTGGACATAGGAAAAATGGTCTTGCTCAACTTAGTCTGGTTTCTCTCCCTTCACTTTTGTTAATTGGTGAAGTTTGTACCTCGCCGCTGTCGCCACTGGCTTGTGTAACTGAGCAAAGAAGTGTGTTAAATTAATGCCTAAAAAGGGACAGCGCCCTCTACAGTGTGTGTGGTGTAATATGTGCGTGGAGTAGAGATCGCCCACAGCAGAGTTAATGAAGCATTGCTGTGGGTAAGTCGCACGTTTCTCCCGGGTGGAAAATTATCATTTATAAGTGTTTAAAGCACTTAAATATTAGCTTTAATGTGACTGAATGTTTCAATGAATATGTTGGGAGACTGTTGAGTAGTGTTTGGCGTCAAGTGTGTTGCTCAATCTTAAAGGGTCACGAAACACCAAAACACATTTTTTGAGCTGTTGACAGTCCCACACTGCTAAAAACACTATTAGGACACCTATATTTCACTAAAAAGTGTAAATTGGTTGTTTTTGCGTTATTTCAAGCAAATTCGTACTTCCGGTTTGAAACTAATTTTTGAAGCTGCGTCACGGTCATGAGATAATAGCGTGTATTCCAGCGTGCAGACTGGACGTCTGTGCCAGAGTGAGTCTTATTACGTCTTACAGTGTGATGCATTAATGCATGAGTAAGGCTTGGTTCAAACCAATCAGCGCGCTCTATTGTGCAACTTCATTAATATTCATTACTATCACCGTGTTTTCAGGACAGAGACGCCACGTTGTGTTGGCAAAACAAGCGTGAAGTGTTGCTTTTATAGTTTGCTGCAGTTAAGTTTCGTTTTCATTTTCTCTCTGTGAGAGCTCAGAGTCATGTGTGGATTAACAGTGTACGCGACGCGCGACAACAATAACTTACGTGTCTAAGGAGGATTATTGTTTACCTGAGAGCTGTTCTCATCTGCAAACACTGAGATCTGGAATCGCTTGTAGTCTTCTCTTAATAAAGACGCGGCTCTAGTTGCTGGTGATTGTCCTGTCTCTACAGATTTGGTAAGTGAGCGACCAGTGCTCTTTGTTTATTCAGTTTGTTCGTATCTAACAAACTATTGCACAGAGTGTAAACACGGTAGCACCACAGCCAAACTTTAACCTCGTGTAGGGTTTTTACCGCATTTAGTGACCGGAATAACACGCGCGGCTTTCTGACACTACCTGTCGTGTGCATCTAAGTTTCTGGGAAATGCGGAGGTTTTTTTTCTCTCATTCGCCGTGCGGTATAAAACATTGCATGAAAAATACACGCTTAGAGCAGCTCCTCGAATCAAATATCTTGTGTGTCGCGAGGGGCATGAATGAATTCCCTGAATGAAAGAGCCAAACTGCAGTTAAAGTCCACCATTTAATAATTTGGCAAATAATTCGACTACAGATGTCCATGTAGGTTAAACACCATCACTTTCTCCTGTATGTGTGTGTGTGTGTGTATTTTGACTCTGAAACTCGCGCGTGCCCAAATAGACACTCCCACACCATCCCACTTTTCTTCCTCCGACACTCCCCCCTAAACAGAGCTGGACACGCCCACTTTTCTGACTTTTTCCAAAGTAGAGGTGTGAAAACACCCTGCTGAAACAAGGGGGTTTCATGGCCCTTTAAGTTATAACGTGTTTATGTAATGAGGACTGATTGTAATCAATTTGTGTGCCGTTTTGTGTTTTATATTGAAATGGTCATTTTCTTTATGAACCAGCAACTATTTACACACACTGTCTGTCTCCATTGTATAGGTATGCTGTTAAATGTTATTAATTAAAGGTTTGCAATTCTTTTATTCTTCAAAACGAGTTGCTAAAAGTGCCCACTAGGTGGAGATGTTTCCTTTCTTTTTGCGTTAAATTGTACTGCTCTGTATTACTCAGTGATTGTACATTGAGTATTTTCATCCATTGCTTTGTCATTTATAATTCAAAGTGTGTTATATTTTACATATTCGGACTGTTAAAATTTACACTATAAGATCACAATACACTATAAAAACTCAAGATTAAGCAACACACTCGACGCCAAACACAACGCAACAGTGTCCCAACATATTCATTGAAATATTCAGTCACATTAAAGCTAATATTTATATGCTTTAAACACTTATAAATGGTAATTTTCCACCCGGGAGAAACGTGCGACTTACCCACAGCAATGCTTCATTAACTCTGCTGTGGGCGGTCTCTACTCCATGCAATTATTACACCATGCATACTGTAGAGGGCGCTGTCCCCATTTAGGCATTAATTTAACACACTTCTTTGCTCCGTTACACAAACCAGTGACGACAGCGGCAAGGTACAAACTTCACTGATTGACAAAAGTGAAGGGAGAGAAACCAGACTCAGTTGAGCAAGACCATTTCTCCTATGGCCAAACTTATTGTGCAGAGCTGC